CGCCGTGGTTTTTCGATTGCTGCGGCTTAATTTTGATAGTTGGAACCACGGACAATGAGCTGTTTCAGAAGCTCTGTGACGGCTTTTCTCAGTTGAATCTGCATTTTCCTTCAATCTCTTGCGTATTAATTGCTCTTTAACCCAGGATTCCATTTTGCAGTTGTACGCCCTTTAGACTCTTTAAATAACGTCGTATGCACTGGCTCTTGTCTTATATCGCCTACTTGCGTAGGGCACCATTTTTCTTGATATGAATTCAACTAACCTTTTGAGGTTGCTACGAAGACGGCGAAATTAGTTCTGAAGGACGGGAATCGCATATTTCCGTGCTGCTTCTCATGGTAACCGCTTTTAAAATCCACTAACATTTGATCATCATATATCAGCCATTCTGGTATGTACGCAATGCTTTTGTTATAATTCAGGGGATGCCTCTTGTTATGATTGCAAAGCACCTGATAAGCTTGTCGCTGGCACGGTTGGAGCACGCCTACGATAACGGCTTGTAACGCTGGCCAATCGAACGGAGTTGCGCTGATTTGATGACGTTAGCTTAGCCGGTGAGACGGAAATTGGGCGAGCGTGAGAACGATCCTAGCCTCCCGTGTTCAGGTAGACGCTGAGCCCTCGGAACGGACGCACACGAGAGGGGGTTACGATAGTCGTGCGCTAATGACTTGGACGCGAACGCTGGCCAGCTAACGACGCACACAAAATCATGTGACCCGACCGACTCCCAAGTAAAGCGAAGAGGAAAGAAAGACAGGCGGTCCTCTGAAGGCTCTTTTACGACCGACAAAGGGCTAATCACAGTCAATGCTATGAGTCAGTAAGTTAGGGAGAATTGCTACCACGACGAGGTGGTAGTTTGTAAAAGACCGTTGTCAAAAGGTGCGTAGTTGGGCCGCGTCTCAGAGTGGCTGCTCGCTGCTACTTTATGAGGAGGAACTGAACCTCGCTTTCCACAGCTGTTCTGCCGGCGTTTCTGGCGCGTTTTTGCGGATCTCCTTACTTCGTTTGAAGCTTTTTAGCTAAAATAACTTTATCCAGCACTGTGCGGCAGTAAATGCACCTGCCACCTCTTACAGATTGGAGGATGCCTAATCCAGTCAAATCTGTCTAAGGCGACCACTCAAAGGACTGACAAGGTGGACAGGTGATTCCCATAGACAGTTGGTCCCCGTAGCAGGTTGGATTGTATTTACTTGGCGCCCTGTTCGAGTTTCTTAATCGGACCTTTTCTCTAACGCGCAACAATCACTTCATCTTACTTTTAATTCTCCTTTTTTTGTATTGCTGCACATTACCTGAGATTTGTCTCTCACCCTCGGCTAACCTGTATTGATGATTATGACTTCATCTCGCTATTTCCACTTATCACAAATTTCCGAGTTCTTGCTCTACATTGGAATACTTGACCCTCGGATTCAATGCCCCAATCAGAAAACAATGAGCCACGAAAACAGGCTCTTTGGTATAAACATTGGGCGTCAATAGCTCTTATTATCTCTACTCTTTCACCAGTCTGATATATGTGTAGCTGAGATCGGAAATAACACCATATAATGCTACCATTGCGGTAGCGAAATCATCACCTCAGTTCGCAGCTTATACACAGGAATATACGCAAGTGGTTTGGGCAAGCTAGAACCGCATTCTTTGACACCAGATGCGGATTTTCAACGGTCTAAAATTCCGTGTATGCAAGAACACAGGGAAGCACCTTGTAGTTTTTGATCATCATTGTCGGATAACGTTTCCACAACAATGATGCGCTCTAGTGAACACTAAACGTTTGCAGTCCGCTCAGTTCTTTAGTGTAATGGGTAACATTGAACAGCTTACCTTGGACTGTACACGCGCTGTGTATGTTTGCTGACCACTTACCAAAGTTGGTCTTGTTTTGCTTCTCCAATCTTGAGTGTCACAATGTACAGATTGAGCGTGGGTTGAGTTACCGGTGCGAAATGTATTGTTATTCCATCTCGTCTTTCTGACCGGAGCCAATGTGAGCATTGACGGTTGGCTTGACTGGTTGCCGGCACCAGTGGTACGTTTTTGTTGTCATTCCCTAATCGAACTGCTTGCCCGAATGTGTCTGATGCTGTTGGGACAAGGTCGACTACTATGTGGGCTAGTAAATAGCCTTGACTAAGCTGTCTCACCGACGACGCCTTATGTTTGCGCGGTAGCCAGTTGTTTTTTGACTGCGTATTGTTGCAATGGCGTTGGCGCACTGCTCTTAGGTTTTACACTATTTCCTCCTTCTTCCCCTGTTATTGTTTTTCTTTTCATATGCCATCCCAGTTGTACGGCAACAATGTGTCAGTGCAAATTGCTGATACACTGTTGCTGGTGGTGGTGGGGGTGATGATGATGATTGTATAGTCCAAAAGGAACTTTAATATATCCCCAACCTGGATTGCCTACAAGGGGACACAGTATCTCTATTCCCTAATTATTCTGCTCATTTTACATTGCTTTACTCTGTGTCCTACAATCGGTTACTGTATCGTATATTTATTCCTTTCACTCGATCGCTGACATATCCTTGACGTTTCAAGATCGTTCATATTATTATGTTACTGTAATACTGCCCAAATACTCGCATGCCGCCGCACGCTGTAGAATTTCTGCCCTCTTTCACTACGGTCGCAAAACCGATTCGTAAGTTATGTACTGTATTTAATATGCCTTATATAGAACCACAGTTACAGTATACTTCGTTTTATTCTTCTGCCCAGACCGTGCGTTAAGTCTAGGTTTATTTGTTCGTAGTTTCTGGTTTAGTTTTCTTACGACGTACTCAGTTTAGACTTCATATCGTTGTTACAATAATAATGATTTGTAATGTGGAATCTATTCGTGTGGTGGCTTTCAACACACCTTAGCCCAGCTAAGTGATCTCCTCCCATTTCAAAAGTGCTGGGCGGCCGTTTCGTCTTTTCGAGTCTCATCAGTAATGGACTTAAACATCCGATCGTAAAAACAGGGCCGCGCACGTTTCAGCCCCACCGACGAGTCCCGAAAGGGGGAAACGGCCATCTCTTGCTTTTCAGAGGGTTGACGGCTGTCTGACCGATAGTAGTCTCGATGAATTCCATCCACCTGTTGAGGTGTGATGATTGACAATCAATGTGTCATACGTCAACTGCATGCGTCTGCGACAATCCTTGTAAATACAAGCACTCAACCAGGTCAGATACTGAGTTTGTTGCCAGTTATCTGTGCACCTTTATTTGTGCGAAATATCATTTCGCAAAGCTCTTAAACACTTACCACTTTTGCCTGCTGTTTTTTGCATCTCCCTACGGCAATGGGCTGAATGTTTCCACTATCAGCTCCTGCATATCCCAGCTCGTTCGGCTTGGGATAAACGCACACTTAGCTAAGGCATGTATTTTTTCTGCTAATGCGATAAGAAGTATCTGCGGTATTTACCAACTATTTGGCGCGCAACAGCTGTTTATGCGTCGATCTGATCGCAGTTCACACGCAGTACGGTGCACTATTTCCTGTTGACTTAAGCACATGGGAGAAACATGGGCCGCTTTTCATCTCTGCCTCCCAATGGTAACGTTTACCTTGCACTCTCGTGGAATCAGGTAGTGTAAACACCAAGTCGGCGTTCTGCTGTCGACCCCTAACTTCCGTCATTCCCGTAGGTAACTCTCACTGACCCACAACGGGACGACAGCCTCATTCATAATTTTTTTCAGTCGAAACATTTTTGCTCGTCTACTCCCATTATATGGGTTTGATGGAGGCGAGATCAGAAACGAAGGGAACATCGTAAGATTGGAACCTCAAAACATGGGCCTAGACGTATATCGGACAGGTGGACCATTAGCACGCCTTGCAGCCCTTCTTTCTCATATGTTCAGGTAACTACTGGATTTGCGGACTTGCCACTTGCTGTACACGATGGCGCCACGCGCTACATTGGAGAACAATGGACCAGCTAGTGCTTTAGTGGCGCCAGTTGTGTTCGGCTTACTGGAATTGCGGTCCCCATCTTATTCCGTGCAAACTGACCAGTAATTAGGCCATTTAATTTACTTAAAAGCTTAATGCTCACTACATTGACCCAAAAGGATGTAAGCAGCACCTAATGTCAAGCTACTCATATAGCTCACATAATTGTCGCTAACACTTGAGCGATCTGTGCAACCTTCTACCGGGCACATACCTGTTATCACTCTTGATCTTCTCCATGTTTAAGAAAAGATTCCCTCCTACCTTAGGAAGTTATAACTTTAAACTTAATCTTTTCCAAAATCTCGCTTTTGCGTTAAATCCGAATTTCCCGTCCCGTTTGCTGACCGTACGAACCGATCTATCTGCGTTTCCTCGTTGCTGCAAGCCGGCCCGTAGTCTTCTAAACTGACAGCGCGGGTTCGGGCCTGCGTAGGGACAGGGCGACTCTCGCAATATAGTTAATCCACGTGCGACCGGTGGTGGTTGCGCGGCAGCGAAGCGTCGGTACTGCGTGCCGCCGTACTACTGATACCTTGTTACTTCAATCGGGAAGTGTGTTGCTGACTCACAATTCACTTTTCGTTGCGCAATCTCGCTGAGCTTCCGGTTATTTATGCCACCCATCTCCTCACTACGTAACTATGACTCCTATCCATGTTCTTGCTAGATGCTTTCCGATCGACCAATCAAATCTCAGCCGCTCTTGAGGTATTTCTTCTAACGACTTCCTCCTCCTCACATGTCGCACCTTCACACTTGAGCACAATTGTCTACCTGATTTGGCTTCTTCGTTGGATAATTTACTCTCAACGATTCAACACTTGTTAAAAACAGCTGTATTGGTTTTTGTTCTACTCATGTGAAACGAGCCCCTGTAGTAATTTGTTTTGCGCGCAGCCACATGAAGCACTCCAATGCCTGTACGTATGTTCTTTTTCTAAATGGATTCAACATTGCAATCTGTGCACTCTGTGTGAGCAATAGTGAACATCACTACTATCTTCTCGTGTATTACTTTTCAGCTTCAAGTCTCAAATTCTCCACCTCAAGCCGGCTTGATTTTGTCGAACCCTGGGGATGATTTGAGCCACTTTGCTCCACATATACATTCCACTGCACATAAGCGATCATCTGACGTCGCAAACTCAACCAACAATGAGGAGGACGAGGATACTAGTGTCTACTGTTTGGCCGCCAAGTTTCTAGCCAACGAGCAAGAGTACTGCCTACGCTTAGAGGAGCAAATCGATTCTCATCTAGCGGCTCTGGAAAAGCAAATTGGTCTCCGCTCACCTATCGTGACATGAATTGTATGCCTTTTAATGTCACGCATCCTCAAAATCTACTGCACTTGATGTTCTGTACATCTTTCTCTGAATTCTGCACTTCCGCCGGCAAAAAACCATCTTACTTATTGACGCTGTTCTCTTCACTGTCGTCTCCTTTAAACCTGCATATGGGGTAAATTCTTTGTATCTACGTGTATCTCTTTACTCCCCCTCTCTAATGCTAACTGTGATCTTTCTTTTATATCTCCCTCTCCAACACCAAAGCATTCATTAAATGAACAAAACCGAGTACACTGGATTTTCCGGTTACTTCAGTGACGTAACCCTTCCATTTCTATCCCACTGTCTTGATGTTTCAGAAGTGATCCAATCACCAGTCTTATCCGCTCACTTGTGGACCGACATCCTTTGTCTGCTTCTCCGTCAGAGGTTGTGGCTTGGACAGCCTTTAGGCTGTGGTCACTTGTAGTGAGTTCGTGTCTTTAGGTTACAAGAAATCACCTTGATCTGGGAAACAACGCGTGACCTCGATTTCCTTGCGGGTCTTTTTCAACTCGCGATAGTCAGCGCTTACAAATGTCTGCCTATTTCCGACTATTCAACTCAAAAATGTGCTTTATGTACACGCGAAGGGCAACTGTTCAGCTGCAACACACGCCGTGGACAGCGATAACTAATGAACACGATTATTACAAGAGGATATGTGCAAAACAGCAGTTCTTAAAAAATCTCTCAGGACTAATACCACTGGTAGTTTATTTACCCACCAGGGCTTGATAGATTCAATTTCAGCGATCTCCAACATTTGTGAAAGTTTTACTGTTCTTGAGATGACGCGCCCATTTGCAGAGATCCTACTAACTCCTAGGCGTAACCAGGGCGATGCGCAAACCATGCGTGCACGCTGTTCGAGACATTAAGTCCCACATAGTTGCGCTTCAATGGCGGCATTCTTATCAAGCGATGCGAAGCGCTCAGTGGCACATTTATATGTGACTAATCCGATATCAAGTTGGGCACCTGCATGGCACAAACACATCAAAAGTGAGGTGGGAAGCAGAGAATTAGAGCTAAATGAAATCGGATGGTTACTCGAAGGGATAATACTTCGAAAATGGTATTGTCAGTAAAATGCAGGTGAATGAGGGCATAAAATATGTGAAATGAATCGGCTTATATAAAGTTTTGTAGAGTAAAGGAGTAATGGGCGCTGCTCGTGCCGATTCCAATCGGACCAGATGTGACAACAAGCGGGCTACATCTCCTTCCTTGTCATTGTTGACTCACGCTTATTTGGTTGAAATCCTCAACTATAAATATGGCAGTTCGTGGTGTCCTTGTCACCTGAGTCCTTTAACAAATGAACTTAGGTTACCTACGAGGGGTATTCAAAAAAACCGAACTTTCGTAGTAGGGTGTCAACCGAGAGGAGTGAGCTGCGGCTACAGCGCAGGTAGAAATTAGCTTAGATAACAAACTGCCCTTTGCCGCATTTCGATCGGACTTAGTTAGAAGCTACAGCCGCTGTAATGAGCACGTGCGCAAGTTGTTCGTCGACCTAGTGTCAAAGGGCAATGAGAGAGCTTAAGGAACGACGCATGTATAAGAAATTTTGCAACACTGCTACAGAGACATTTCTATTGATTCGAATTGGTTCATCGCAATTAGATTCCAAGCCACATAGGTAAGCTACCAATCCGGAAAAGCACCAGGCGTGCGTTTCGCCCTATTGGGATTCGTTAGTTTTGCGCATTCATCGGTCCCCTACTAAAGGATCGAACCTATGACTGCTAGAGGCTAACGCCAAATAACTAGCAGCTTATGCCACTGAGCCATGAGGAACGACAGCCGACCATTACGAATTGAAACCTAACTGCGATATAGCCCGACCCATCCTCCAATGCCGTGCAGAGGACAGTGGTTGACCGTCACGGTCAGGTCTTCCCTTGCCAGTGCCGTGAATCCACACAGCAACTTTCAATATTGGCAGGGCTTAGGTTTTTGATGAATCATACCCAAATCTGTCTACTCATTACATTTCTATTGCTTAGCCAAACAGACGTGGAGGACTGTATGAGTCGCACGCAATGCTATAGGTGGTTTACGTGTTTTGAACACGGCAGAATCTCGGTAGGTGACGATCCGAAGCCTGGACGACCTTCCACATCAACAGATGATAACCAAGCGAGAGAGTTCGTGCTGTGATCCGTGGAATTCGCCGTTTCGGTTTCCAAGAAGCTGCTGACGAGGGGAGCATCAGGGTAATATCATGCCATCAAATTCTAGTGCGTTTGAGGGATACTGTGCGCAGAAAGAGGCCTAAAATGTGGGGAAACCAAACTTAGATGTTGCATCATGACAATTCGTCGGCTCACGCATCACTCCTTTTCCGCAGCTATTTGGTAAAACATCACACTCCCGTCGTACCTCATCCATCGTATTCTCCTTACCTACCTCCTGTAGACTTTTCCTGTCTCCCAAACTTAACACCACAATGAAAGGACGTCGTTTCCAAACCATAGAGGTGATTCAGGACAATGCGACAAGTGACCTACGAGCCATCCCAGAAAGTTCGTACCAGGAGGCTTCCTAACAATGTAAACACCCTTGGGAACGGTGCATTACCAATAGAGGGACTACGTTGAGGGGGAAGTACGTATTGTGCAATGAGCAATGTAGCTGTTATCGCAAAAGTTCGGTTTCTTTTTGTACCCCTCTTATGTGTGAGGTAGGAATTTTCCGGTTTATCGTAAGTGCAATGTTAGCTTCGCTCAAACAACGAAGCAACTGGGTCCATATAACCGCGCATCCACTCAGATTTTGCATGTTTTAGTAGGGCTTTCAAGTCGTGTGTCGGTGGCGTAACTGCCGCTTTCACTCGTTCCTTTCACTTGAACACGTATGCATTTTAGTGCACTGAGTATGCGTGCTGCTCACTTTTGCTGATCTTGCTATCTACTTCATGCTGGGGATGTTAACGCTGGTGTTGTTCGTTGTCGGCTCAATCGCGTTACATTCGAATGCTGACCTGCATGTCGACCAACGTTCACAACAAGGTGATGAACTGTCAGACCTGAATTCACTCGATACAAGTGTCGTTTGGATTCCTACGCGTCCGATATCTCGATAGTTGGGCCACAGGTTAGAACGAAGTATACCGTCTTCGCGTTGGCGTCAGGCTCAATTAATGGCTTCGTCACAGAAAACTACAGCACGGCCATTGCGTTTTCCCCTAGCTTTATAGTAATATGTTCCTTCAGGCAGTGTGAGCCGGCTCCGAACCGTTCGAAACGGCCCTGTGCATATCGCCAACTTCACTTCCAGTTTGCACCTGGTGTTGTATGTGCATATGAAACTGAAGGGACACAGCATAAGCCACCAGTGGCCCAATTAATAATGCATATTCTCGAGTTCAGGAGACATACCCTTTACGGTATAATTAATTTTTTTACAGTTGTTCCGTATAGTGTTCACCTGATAGTCCAAATGTTGGGCGGAAATAAAAATCATGTCTTTAACTCTTATGGTTGTCTAGTTAAAAGCTCCGAATGCGTATAGAATAATTCGCGTCGTCACGACGGATAGATCTGTGTACCGACAGAGATTGCGTCGCAATCCAACCACACAGCGGCTACTTCAAATCCAACATTGTATTCCTTATCGCTGTGCCAATCGTTGCTCATGGATCTTACATCCACAGTGATCATGACGTCAGCCTTTGACCACTAGGCACCGAGTTCCACCCCAGCTCAGGCTATCTCCATCTGATGAGTCCAAATGAGGACGAAACCGGTTATGGGGTGCCAGTGTTGGGAGGGGCAACACCAAACCACCTCCAATTCGGATGCGGTCCTTGTGCTTGTAATGTCTGAGGTCTGAATAGAGGTTGCATGTCGCAATCCAACCACACAGCGGGTACTTCAAGTCCAAGGTTAAATTTTCTTTTTCTTGGATGGGTATGAAGAGTAATTGTGTTGATGAAACATTAGAACTCAGACTCAACTGTTTACGTCATATCTAATTTGGACTGAAAGATTCTCTATACATTGTAGCGTTCTCAAAAGGGGTAGTGGAAGACTGAGGTGCTTATTTATTTTCAGTTGTACATGTACGTCAAGGCAAACAGAAGGAAGATTGATTTTCTGTGTGTGACGCATACATGGTTGGCATTATTCAACCAGCTCAAGGGTTTTGTTTTAACTGTCACTAAGCGCATTCGTTTAGGAAGAAAAATGGAAGACTATTTCGGCAAATAGAGATGCAGATGTTGGAAGCGGAATCGGTTATCTCCATACCGCTTGACATGTTTGCGTAAGAGAAACAAGGTAACTGGTCAAAATGAATGAGGATGGATAGGTTCAGTCAACGTGTTCTTCCCAGTTCGCAACTTTTGTTATGGCTACAAGTAGATGTGGCTGAGTAGGCAGAATACGCAGATTGAAAACAAAATTCGTCATATCGAACTCGGTTTACAATTCCTTTGCAGTCCACACTTATTGGTGTGCCTATGAAGTATGCTTTCCCGAGTAAAGAAGTAAGGAGGGTCGGGTGATGAAGTGTGCAGGAGTTTCTGTCAACAATTTTCTTTCTTCAATGCACATCTTCTGGGAGGTCTGGTCAAGTAGGCATCGTACGTAGCACATTTTGTACTTATTTGTAATCAGCATACCTATCCCTGGTCCCCTCCACAAGCAGTATTTTTTAATTCCAGCATTTCTTACCTATTGTACTCACGGGCAGTTAGAAACTGCTCTTCTGAACCCTGATTGCGATTCAGTCTCTTAATTCAACAGTGAAGCGGTTTTGGATTTCAGTGCATCTGTTTAAGTGGAAGTTTCTTCAGACCACTCCTCGTTTTGAACCCTAGGAATGTGTACTTAGTATTCCTGATTGCGTATCTTTGTTCTTGTTTGAAGTGAATAGCGACATTTGGTGCGAATGCATGCCTGTGGACCAAATCAAATAGGAGTGTTTATCCCAGCTTCCTGCGTCTTAACCACAGTAGCTCCAGTCGTAGC